AGAGAGAGAGAGAGAGAGAGAGAGAGAGAGAGAGAGAGAGAGAGAGAGAGAGAGAGAGAGAGAGAGAGAGAGAGAGAGAATAGAGGAGTGGATACACAGTGCATGATTCACAACTTCTCATGCACTCCGACTCCACATGGACCAGGCAAGAGCTCATAAACTACCAAAGCAAACTTGCTCACTGGCATGCTCTTTTCCAATTATACAAGCATAATCTCTCCTCCCTGGCAAGTAGTGCCCACCAAAGACTCGTTGGCGAGAACCTGCCTTCCCACCACTGCCACGACCATCCCACGTATTGGCGAGCACACGACGCCTGCTACAAAATCAAAGTGCTACCTACAGACAGTCCAAAAATGACACGAAAGACACATGGGCGCAATAGGCGAATAAAATTGGAACCCCCCCCATGCCGTACAAAACCCCATGACATATGTACACTCCGGCATGACGATGGGTGAGCCGTCTTCAACCAAGTGACGACAGAGCAGCACCGCACGAGAGGAAACAACAAGCACGACGAACACGCACATGCACGACGCCCCACCCCCCCATCCCCCATCCCACGTCACCGTCTTCAACGTCGAAAACGGGCGCCATGAACACGTCATCAAACGACGACCCCCCTATCCCACCCTGCGATGGCGACGGTGGCGACTATGCTGATGGCGGCTATGGCGATGATGGCGATGTTGTCGACGACGGCCCGCAACGGCGACGAAGACGACGACGGTGACGACGGGAAAGACGGCGACTATGGCGATGATGGTGACGATGGCGGTGACGATGACGTTCACAGGTCCCACGCTGGTTGTGGCGACGATGAAGCCCCCGTGCGTTGAAGAAGGCGACGGTCGCGATCATGGTGACGATGGCAATGATGGCGACGAAGGCCACGAAGGCGGTGAGGATGACGACGATGACGTCGGAACGCGCAGAGAAGGCGGCGTCGAGTGGGCTTCGTAGCGTGCGCACAACAGAGGCGGCACAAGCTCCAATGCTCGCGGATGACCTTCGCTATCTCCAGCAGAGCGTGGCACATCAGTTTGCTCACTTCGTCAGATGCTGCGTAGTGTTTTTTCTGCACTTCGACCTCCGCTTCCAATGCCTCGCACTGCCGTATTTGGATGGAGCATTAACGCTTGCTGTTGTTCTCCATCGTCGACGCCATTAGCGCATCGTACTTCTCCATGCATTCTGTCATCGCTTCGAAAGTTTGTTGCCTCGTGCTCTTCCTCTTGCCGAAACCGCTAGGGCTACCCGTCGTTTGAGAAGAATCTTTCGCCGACCCGTCGTCGTCGTCGTCGTGCCCTGCACCAGCGCCCCCATCGCCTACAGATTCAGGATCCGCAGAAGAGGCGGACGGCAGACGCACACCACCAGGAGCACCGGTGTCGGCGACGTTCTTCGAGTTTATGGTGTGGTTCTTGGCGGCCGACCTTAGTATCTCGCCGTGAACCGCACGATCCATGTTGAAATTGAAGCCCTTCGATGTCCTCTCCTTCCCTGAGAATTGGAAGAAGTCTTGTTTCCCGGACAAGCCTCGGAAGTGATGCACCTTCTTGAACTGCTGCATCAAATTGTCCCACTTCTTCCGACACCGATTTGCGTCTCTGTCCATGCCCACCTTTTTCAACCTCTGCGCCACATCCAACCACTTCCATTCTCGCGGCTTCATCCGAGCGTACGCGTGACCCATCCCGTGCAGATGCGCATCCTGGTCACGTTTAGCCCGGATGAGGGCTATAATGTCGTCGACGGACCAGAAATGACGACCTCCTTCTGCATCAACGTCATCTTCGGCATCGTTCCCCTTCCCGCCGCTTTTTGCCCCCGATGACCATTGCGGGCACACGCCTTCGTCTTCCCGCCCCTCCCTCCCATGCTGCTTTGCTTGAATGGCGAAACGTAGCCTGCGTCCTCCTCCCCACCTTCGTCGTCCACGTCGTTCCACTCCTGATCATCCGTGTCCACCACAAGTGTGTCGCCGTCGTTTTCCTGCTTCCCCACACGCAATTGCTGCACCCCCCGAGTTATGGATTCCTCCCGCCCCGACCGCAGCCCCCGCCGGTGTTCTGCCCACACCTCCCTCCCGTCCCATGCATCACCAAGATCGGCGATGCCACAATCCGTCTCTCCGCATTCACCACGACATCGGGCTGCACTCGAACCGGCGGACAAGGGAGACGGAGACTGCATCCACTGGGGGCGAGCGGAAGCACCCCTCGACACAGTCAGCGACCGGAATTGCTGCCTCAGAGGATCCCTGTTGTTCCCCGGCGCCTCCAAGACCGGCGCTGGAGACTTCGATGATCGCGCAACAGCTGTCACTTGCCCGTCGTCGTCGTCAGGATGGGGGGTGACGATGACCGTTCGCGAGGCGGCCAACGACCTCCGGCTACACAGCCCGAACGACAGATTCACGCCGCCATCACCTTCGTCGCTGCTGAGCCCCTGCTGGAGAAGTTCGGCGTAGGACTGGCCTTAACCGCCGTTGCGGCTTCCACACAACTCTGTAGTCGCCCACTCCTGCGTGGACTTGCTTCCCAGCGGCACGGTCTGTGACCGTCTGTCATCCGCCTCCTCGTCGGATGTGTCCGGCAGAGGTTGCAAGTGCGGTGGCAGGTGCGCATACCTAGACCGCTCCGACGGCCTTGAACTCCTCGACGGGCTCTGCCCAGCCCGCTGGCCACCACCCTGCTCCCCTACAGACCTGCAGATCGCCTGCGGCCCCTCCATCCTGACGTCCTTCTTCAAAGACCGTCATCTGCGGGCACGTCGTGGAACGCTGCCGAGGATGCACACGTGGAAGACAACTAAGAGGAGGAGCAAAAGGACGACCAGCACCAGCAGCGGCAGCCTCCGAAAGACGTCAGCCATGAAAGGCACATGGACGACGGCAGCAGCTAGAAGACAACAGTGGATGTCCAGGAAACGGCGAGGGACAGTAGTGCAAACGGCCGATCGCAGCTATCGACAAAAGCATGGTAACGTATTCCGTCGCGGAAGACACTATGCAATGGGAACAGCAGGGGCCGGCTGAAGTATTCGAATCTGCCGACCGTTGGGCGCCGCCATCCCGCTCGGGGCCAAGGGCAGCGACGCAAGGCAGCCCCTTTTCGACGTCGCGGAGGCCGGCAGGCCGCCAAAGGGGACCGTTGGCGGACAATTCCATGACGCCGACCGTTGCTGACCGAAGATGTCCGTCCACGGGCCGCCAGGAACAGCAATGGACCAGCCTCGACGAAAATTGTCGTCGACAGAGCTGCCGTCGACGCCCCGATTCTTCCGGATGCTCGACCTCCAAGGGACCTTGGGGAACGTGTCGAAATGGCTGTAGCCCGAGGAATCCCCGAGGAAATGTTTTCACATTTTTTTTTCAATTTCTTCCCAGAGGATAAGTGGAACGATGATTTCCTCGGGGGATTTACGCGCCCGAGGAGTGTCGAACGAGTCCCGTAATTGTGGTCAGGTGCACCTGGCTGGGTCAGAAAAACAGTCATATACATCCAGAAAAGTCCTAGTGTGAGTATGCCATTTGAACCAGGCATGGAAGGGAAGAAAAGGTTTTGCTAACCCCCCTTCTACTGCCCACTCCCTTGGGATGATTACCCCAGGAGTGTTCTCCAGCCATTCTGTACAGAAGTCTCTTATCAAAAATCTTTCTTCTGCTCAGTCATCCTTGCGCAGGGGCCATGCTAATCTTCAGTCCTTTCTTCTTTGTCTTTATCTTCTTCATTTTATTCTTCCATCGCTTCCATCGCAGTGTTCCACTTCGAATCTTTTTTTTTTCTTTTTTTTTGCATAAACCGGTCCTTATGGCCCTGGCTCCTTATCCATTCTCGGGAGCGTCAGTCCGGTTCCTATTCCTCCGGGGGCCAGGTCCCACTAGCAAAGACGATTGGACTGAACGCGTTAATTTGGCTGCATTTCTGGACAAGTGCAGAAAATTGAGATTGAACTCCTTTTCTGCATCTCTGCCTAAAACAGACCCATATTCAGGGTCTTAATCCAATCCCCTTTGCTAGTGGGACCAGGTCAGAGAAAAAAAAAAAAAAAAAAAAAAAAAAAAAAAAGGGCACCCGCCGAATGGGGGGGGTGGGGGGGGGGAAAAAAGGATCCGCAAAGGGGAAAGGGAAAAAATCGTTTTTTTGTCAGAAAAAAAAAAAAAAAAAAAAAAAAAAAGAATGACAGACAGCTCCATTTGCAATCTGATATTTATTTCTGGGGGTCAAGTCATTTTCCAGGGCACCCTTGATAACCAGGGGTGAGCTCTCACTACCATCTTCACCCCAATAGAATGCCCGTTCATTCTAGCTGTATTTGGTGGAGCTATCAGTCTAGATGCAGTGGTAATGACCGGCGGCGTTCTATTCGGGTGAAGACCGTGGCAAAGAGGATTGGACTGAAAGCCTGAATCTGGACGTGTTTGTGGAGTGCTGCAGAAAATCACGATTGATCTGCTTTTCTGCGTCTCAACATTGAGCACATCCAGATTCAGTCGCTTAATCCAAGTCTCTTTGCTGGTAGGAGCAGGCCCCAGGACTCGTCTCTATCACTGCACCACCATTGCTTCAACTCAGTTTCCACCAACGGGCTTAGCTCAGTTTATTCACCCATAAACTGTTTTTTCTTTTTTTTCTTTTTTTTTTTCTTTTTTTTTTTTTCACCCATAAACTGTTGAACTCTGCAGAATCTGATGTAAGTCCCACATACACCGTTGAGGCAGTTCAACGTTGAACTAGCTCAACGTGTGTGACCCCACGCGACGACGTCTGAGATGCATCCGGAGCTGCACATGCAGCTGTTGTTCCTAGGTTTATAAAATACGAAGACTTTCGTTTTTCTTTTTTGGTTCAAGAAAGGTGCTGAAAAATCCTTCCGCCCGAATACAAAGCCCCCTACCCTGCCCATCTTCCGTTGAACTACATACCCCCCCACTTGGAGTGGGTGGGGAATGGGTTCCCGTTCAACGGTGCTTGTGCCATCATGACCTTCTGTGCGAGGACGCTCTGACAGCCGTGGGAGGACACTCTGACATCCATGGGAGGACAGTCTGACTGAGAGTGCTCATGCTGTGTTTGGCTGTGCGGCCCGAAACTCGTTTCTGCGAAGGCACCAAGCCAGGAATACTGTCTACGGTCATTTCATGTTGTATCGAGTCCCCATCTCCGCCTTTTTACTGAGGATTGTTGTATTTTCCTTTTTTTTTTCTTTTTTTTTAAAAATAGAACGTGGGGGCCCAGCGCCCAAGGCTCAAACTCTTACAAATTTCCATTTTACTTTTTAGAAAATACGACAAAGATTTCAGTAGCAGTTGGTTATTCATTGTTTTTTGGGAAATAGGGGCTCGTTAGACCCTCCTTGAAAATCCTCAGGAATGTCGAAAGTTATGGTTACACGGCGTCCTAAAAAACAAAAGTCCTTGAAAAAATGTGAAAACGCTCCCAAGACATTTCCTTGGGTCCCTCGGAATCCCCAGCCATTGCGTCCTTGGATTCAAGGGGTCCTCGAGAGGTCCCTTGGGCTCAAGGATCCGCGATAGTCGGGCTGTCGTTGAGCATGCGTCAACACGGAAAGTTTCTGTTTTTGCTGGTGCACATGACGTCCGTGGTCCATCGGGCGGACAATATCGGCTTCCAACCGGCGGGAGGTCACCAACGGCCTTGTGGTGTTACCGTTCGCGCGTACACGGCCGGGGGTCCTGCTTCGGGTGCGACAGACATCGGAGCGGTGGGGTTCTCCTTCTGCGCTTCGTCGGGCGTTGTGTCCAACGCTCGAATATTTCGAAATTTGTTTTATGTGCGGGGTGTGATGTTGTCGCCGGCCGGCCCGTTTTCTGCCATTCGCGTGTGTGATAAGCTCAGATCCGTACCGCGCGGCTTGCCGTATCCCTGAGGAAAAATCTCGCGGAAACCCCGAAGTACAGACACGGACAGAAAGGGGTTTTTTCTTTTCTTTTTGCTTTTGTTTTCTTTTTGAAACGGATTTTTCATTTTGTTTGGTTAATAACTCCCGCGCGGGCGAATAGCGGCCGCGGTATGAAAAGCAAGAAACGGTTTCGGTTAGAACTTTTTTTTGAATTTTTGCGCGCGCGCCTAAGCTCCGACTTCTTCGCGCGTCTCGCACC